CCGATTGAGATGGGTAGCTGGATTTAAGGATGCGTGGGCCCTGGTAGAAGGAGCACTCGTGACCACCTTTGTGTGCGTTTTACATGAGATACCCACTATCTGGTTGAGACTGCTTTAGTCCAGTGAGAGTCTCTAGTGTGTACTTATATTTATCAATTATATAAATATGGAATTAACTAATTACGAGATGTGTTGCTAATTATGAGTATGTGTGGATGGGTTAATTTCCACATGGATAAAAGGAATAATGAAATTTAAAATTAAATAATCAAATTTTTTATTTCATGAATTCGTGAATTCCGAGGACGGAATTCTTTTTGTTAGGGGGAAAGAATGTAAAACCTAGATATTTTAAAAGATTTATTAAATGAAATTAATTACTTTTATTTTATTTTTAAATAATTTATTTGATTTAATTTTAATTAATTGCGTTTATTTTAATATTTAATTGATTTGTATTATTGAGTGCTTAGATTAATTGTTTTATTTTATTTATATTTCATGAATTATTGATATGATGATTGTTGTGTGTGTGCTTAATTATTGATTGAATTGTTGGCGTATTGATTTTATTGGTATGGTATGACTTGGTTGTAATTTATTGTTTTTGTTCATGTGTTTAGTATAATTAGTTTTTTTTTTTTTTAATTTAAGTGTTTATTTAATTATTTGGTTTATTTAAATTAATTGGATTTGGGCTTAAGGGAAGTTGGACCAAAAGATGTGGTCTTGGGCTTGTATGAAGCTTTATTGGGTTAATTAATAAAGGCCCATAGTTATTTAATTATTTAAATGATCATTTTGGTATTAATTATAAATATATATATATATATATATATATATAATTATATATAAATATAATTAATTAATAATTGTTATGGGAAGATATATATATATAGATATATATTTATTGATATATATAGGTGTATATGACTAAATTAACCAATGAGTTAATTATGGAATATATATATATATATATATATATATATATATATATAGTATGATATATGTTTATAGATATATATTGTTTAAAGATTATTATTTTATTTGAGAGTCCTGGTTGTAATAGGATTTGGATTTTAATGTGTATAAATATACGCATAAGACTTTAGGGTTAAAAGTTTATACGTTAAAAAAATAAAAGAGACAGGGAGAGAGAGAGAAAAGGAGAAGGCCAACAAAGAGGAGGCCAAATCTGAGAAGGATTGGAAGAGACAATCAAAGCTTGAAGCATTGGTTTCATTTTGAACCTTTAGGCGAGTTCTTCTCTAACTTTCCTCTTATAACTCATAAGGATTTCACCTTGAGTGTCAATGTGTATATTAATTTAATAATTAAATGATGGTTAGAATGGAATATTTAAAATATAAATTATTATATTTTAGTTTTTGAAATTTTAGATTTTTATTGTTGAATCTATGTGTTATATATTTTGTTTACATCAACTTATAGGCTGAATCTAGACCTAAGAGGGTTAATGAGAGTTTCTAGAATTTCTGGGATTTTTCTAAAATTTTCTGATATTTTTCTAGTATTTTTGGAAATTTGTTAGAATTTATTTTTCTATATTTATTGGAAATTTATATATGTATATATAAATATATAATCCAATGTGAGCCGGTCTATACTATCATGGTGCACACACTAATCTAGCCCATTGGAGTATTTAAATGTATGTGGATTGATTGGGCGTGGTGCGAGTTCATGGAGATTCAATATGCCATAAGTCTGAGCCCTAGATGTGGATTGATTGAATAGAGAGTGAATTTAGTGCAGCGCGGGCGCATGGAGAACCATGTAGCTGCGAGAAAAGATCTGGTGCTGCGCGCACATCAGAGTTGATGCAGGGTTGAATCATAGTGCGCCATGTGTCAGCATCTCAGTCTTTAATCCGATGCAGACGCGCTCACAGTATTGATTGAGCTCAGCTTATTATTTTGTTTGTTTTATTACTCGAAATTTAAATGGTCATAACTTAGTCATATTAAATCGAAATTGAGTCATTATTGAGCTCAAATTTAAGGATTTTTCGTCCTCTTTCCAATAGTACCGATTTTATTATCAAATTCCCATCTTACTAGGAGATATTTACATTTTAGTGAGATGGTGTCGAAAAATTAATTAAACCGAGATGGAGTATTTATGGGAAACCGTTTTTAACGTTATTTAATAACATTTAATTTGTTACTAATATAATAAATTAATAATTGGTTATGGAAGGATGATATATATATATATATATATATATATATATATATATATATATATAAAATTGTTGATATACATGTATATATGATTTTATATAATTAAGGATTATTAAGGAAGGATTATACACATATATATTATATAATACATGTGTATATATATGTATGTTAATTAAGATTGTTAGTGTTATTGTTATTACTTTATATATCTGGATGTATATATATGAATTAGTTATCGTTGAGTCTAAAATTGGTACATGGATGAATTGTAAGCATGGGTGAGTTGTCAAAGGCGATGTATATGTATGAATTAGCTATCGTTGAGTCTAAAATTGGTACATGGATGAATTGTAGGCATGGGTGAATTGTCAAAGGCTTAAGTATACTGCCTTATTATTTGTATGAATAAAATACATGCATAGGAATTAAGCATGGATGAATTGCTAGTTTAAAAGTATAAATATCTATACTTGAGGAAGCATGGTTGAATTGCCAATATATAAATAAAAATATTTAAGGAGGCATGGTTGAGTTACCAATATATAAATAAATATAATTATAATGGCATGGTTGATTTGCCAAAGTGTAATTAAATTACTATGTGTTAGATGATCAAAATTTCATCTAAGGTTATTGTACGTATAGGTTGGATTAGGATTGAATATTCTTAAATTAGAATAGTCTAGTAATTACAGGTTAGTGTATTATTTTACGTATATTAATAAAATAATATTGGTGGAGACATGGATGATTTGTCAAAGCCTAGAAATTGGCGGTGTGATTTAAATAATTAAATCATTATTGGATTTTGAATTAAATATAATATTATTTAATTATTTTGTTTAAATGTTTAATTAACGGTCTAGGACAGGATTGAGGTTAAGGAATTTTTTCTTAAAAAGAAATTGTGGATTGGTCTTGGAATGATTATTAATTTAATCATTATTTAATGATTTTGAAAGTTAATGAACCTATTAATGAATGTGAAGGTTATATTGTATATAATTGCTTATATAAATGCGTATCATCGTTTATTAAACTTAAAACTTTATTAGGTTTGGTTTTGATCAGAGATGATCTGCTTATTGGTTTCCAGAGGCCTGGTAGAGAGTGCTTGCTTGTAGGGTTTAACCCGCGATTTGTTTTTCAGGTTATTAGAAATTCAATTCTCAAGGCTGAGGATCCGTAACTAGAGGATTTATCCATTCTTTCGGTTTATTTAAAAGTAGGATATTATTATTATTTCATTTGATGCTAGAATTTAATAATGAACTTTTGGATAGTAGATTTTGGTTAAGGGGTCTTTGAGTTACAGGATTCCCGAGTTGTAAATTTTGGAGAATTATTAGTGGAACTTTTATTTTATAAATTTCTTTCAACGACTTATTTATTTATTTTTTTATTTTTTTGTACTCTGTGCTTGTTTGAAATACTTTAATTGTTTTGATATCCCTTAATTTTATGCGCGGATTTGATCAACCCGTGTTCCAAAATTAGGGGGTATCACAGTTTAAGTAATTGAGGTTTTTGATTATTGGATTTCAGATATATAATTTTGAGGATTTTTAATTTAGAATTATTTTAGCTTTATTATTTTATACTTATATCATTTTGTATTCCGTGTTCAATTACATATTAATTGTCTGATATTCCTCGGATCTGTGCTTGGACTTGATTATCCGTGGTTTTAGAATCGAGAGGTATCACACCACCTTACCCTTGCACTTATATTGTAATGCCAACAAGATCCCCAAAATATCTCCTATAAAGTAAAGATATATGAATATGTGTAAAATGTCTACAATGCTTTCTAAGAAAAATAGCAAAACCGGGAGAAATTCCCGAGCTCAGAAATCGTCCCGATTTTTGAAAAATTCTAAAATTAATCTCGTTACTTCTAATTGGCTTAAAAAATAATTTAAAAAAATACATATCTAAACCTTTCAGATCAAGAAAATGACGTAAACGGCCCTCGTGGCACACAAAATGAGGCACAAAAAAATAAATGAAATAAAATTCAAAAAAAATTGGAACATTATAGTGTTGTTCAAATCCTTATTCAAATAAAATGGATGAAGCGATCACACTTTGAAGGGATCAAAGTAGTCATGTAGTGTTGTTCGATCTACCAGCAATCTTAATTTCTACAAAAATCAAGAGTGAGGTTGAGGTCAAAAGCTGTTGGACGAGGGAGTCACAAACGCAGGGATTGTCAGCAATTGATTTTTGGTAGAACGATAGGGTGTGAGCTTGAGTCAAAATTTATTGTACTTTTTTTCAAACATAATAGATCGTTTTACTCTGGATTGCATAGTCCATGATATTTTTCCCATAACGATTAGTCTCTTCTACCAATCGGGGTTTCCTTGATAAAAATTCTGATTTCATCTTTCAAACTTTATTTGTTTTACTTACTTTTATCTTGCATGTGATTGTTTAATTAATTGATAATTTTAGTAAAATTAATTGAATAGAAAAAAACATAATTAAATTATTTCTAGATAAAAACTTAAACTTTTCATAATATATTTCACTGCATAACTCACATAATGTCATTAATTTGTAAAAATTATTAATAAATTTGTAATTTATAAATATTTTCTCTTCATTCAAAGAAAAGATAGATGGTGGGAATCTATCTACCAACATCAGAGAGAGTTTTTTCATTTATCCGGACCCCTAGGAACTAATTGCAAAGTGAGGCTAAATTAAAAATTTTATTTGTTTGACTTCGTACCAAGTTGGCAAACTGAGGCTAAACAGTGACTAATAAGTGGTTGGTAACTTTACAATTCGAAAAAAAAAAAAAAAAAAACAAAACAAAACTCAAATCAAAACCTTCCTTTCTTTTAAAAGTTAAGCATATTAGCGTAAGGACTCAAACTGTCTAGCCATGGGCTTCTCAGCTGGGTCCACAACGGGTCCATGGTCGACTCCATGCTGAACTTGGGTACTTCAAGCTCCACCAACTTCTCCTTCATGGAGCCCAATAATCCAAGAGATGAAGATGGAATTACTTCCTTGTCCTGCCCTTCTTCTGTCTTGCAAACAATATTGTTTGGGACAGTGGCTGTTACCCTAAACATGTCTTGTGGGTCATGACAGTAGGGGGTACCCTGCGTTAGGGTTGTTGATGAAGGCATCAGATGGTTCATCATTCTGGAGTGTCCTTCCATTGCTGCCCTTTCCTCCAATACCTTGTATGAAGTTGCTTTCCTATAAATTTTGCAAAGCACTACCTCCTCCTTCATCTACACCATATCAAAAAAGTCAATAATTAATTTTAAAAATGTCATTGTCACATAATTTAAAATAATAAAAACAAGAAAAATGGTATTTGAACCAATAATTCAGATCTAAAAAGCTTAATCATTTACTGTTATATATGCTTCAACTAAGGGCATAAAATTCCGCATAAGGCCTAAATTATGGACTAGAGTAGCATTGTTCTAAAAACAATACCTTAGAGGAGGAACCACTATCTGCAAGCCTGTACTCATTCATGACCCAGTCGGTCTTGCGTCCCCGTGGTGCCTTCCCCTTGTAGAAAACCAACGTTTTTTTGAGACCTAAAACAATTTTGGGGTCTGACAGACACCGAATTTGCCGGTCGGAGCCGGTCGCCTTCCAGAATCCATTCTCGGTGGTCCGGCTAGGCCTGCCACCGTGCCCATGCCTTCTGTCTCTTGGAACAAAAAAGTACCACTCTCTTTCCCCTATCTTTGCCAACCCTGCATTTTCTCAAATATATATATGACCAGTTAATATATATACATGGTTCAATATGTTAGCTCAATATATATTAACTAACACACACACACACACACACACATATAATAATTTCTTACCAGGTAATTCCCAAGGGTCATGATGATAAATGTTAAGAAAGCCGATGATATTGAAACAAAGTTGTTTGCCAGTGGCAATCTTTCTAAGGTAGAAGTTGAGAAGTTCTTCTTCAGTTGGGTGGAAACGGAAGCCTGGTAGCTCAAGTTGTTGGGTGATGATGTTATCCATTTGTTATAACTAGTGATGATAGAAGTGTTTTAGTTGGTGGTTTTTGGTGTTATAATTATGGGAATATATATATTTATATAGGTGAAGAGTTGTGTGTGTGTGTGTGTGTGAGAGAGAGAGAGAGAGAGACCTAAGGTGCTGAGAGAGGTGAGAAACTCGGTGGTCATGTCTAGGGGGAGGTCCACACGCTTCCAGAGGTCAGTGATGAGACCAGACCAGTCTTCAGGACCCTGAGACATTCCATTTCCTTCTTTGTCTCTTTTTATTTATTTATTTATTTATTTTTAGGGAGTCTTCAGTACTTGTTTGTTTGTGATTAAATAAATAGTAGTAATATTTTGTTACCTAATAAAAGAAAATGCAGAATAATTCAACATGCATTTTATTTGGGTTAAAATGTTCTGAAAACAGAGTTAATTAAATTTCAAAATATTGAAAATTGTTTTCCGATAATGAAATCAAACATATCCTCATAGCAATGGACATTTCTTTCTTGTTGTGAACATGTAATATTTAAGTTGATTATAGATATATGATTAGGTATAATACTTTTTTAGATGTGATAATTACTCATACTTCTTGAGAGAGAAAACAATACAAGTAGATTATTACACGAAGTATTTTCTGACCGTTAAAAAAAAAAAAAAAAAAAAAAAAATCCTTTATTTGGTTTATTTATTTTAATCCTCGGTATAAAAATAAGTGTAAAAATAACCGGAAACAAGTTGTATTTTAAGCTAGACAAGCGATTGCCGGCTAGCTGTGGAATTTTTTTTACGTGGTGGAAATCGGTGGTCATCAATAGTGGCCAAACACCAAGAATGAGTGGAATCCTTTAATTGGGTGGTTTTTAAATTCAAAGTCATTTTTTCTTGTGTTGATTTTCTTTGGAGAAAATTATGGAGCCAAAAAATCAATCGTTGGTAAGCAATTCGTTATGACTTGAAGTCAACCCCAATGACCCTAATTGCAGTCTGTGGAGCTAGAATGAGAATTCTCTCCTTGCACTTGTCCTTTCTACTCTTACTTTATTCTCTCCTTTGTGTGACCTAGCTACAGTTTTTTAAAATTTTGAAGTTTCCTAAACTAGTCCTAAAGCGTATGGACCCAATTTGATGTATTGAGTGCCCTACGTGATGTATTGAAAAAGAATATTTTTAGAGTAGGTTTTGCTGGAGATATTAAGTGTGTTCGGTGCATTTGGTATTGGGTTAATTTGAGTTCGACTAATATAATATTTATTTGTTTTTGTTTTGTAAAAAGGACTTTGATTTTTTCATAAAATCGCTTAACTCTGCTCATATTGCTTAAACAATACTTTTAAATTACTTACGTTATTACATTATGCATTAACCATATTATTTTATGGGATCCAAATTCTTTGGAGAGGACCTTAACGGTAGTATTAATGAGGTTTAGTCCAATTCAAATTGGAGAGGACCTTAACGGTATTATTAATGAGGTTTAGTCCAATTCAAATTGTCTAAACCGTAATTATGGACAATGTGGTGCTGGGATGTTTGAACGGAATGCTATGTGATGTGGACATCCACCACCAGCATGCACTGCGGACTATTGGAATACTAAGTGGGTATTAATTCGAATATAGTTGGGTTTTGTCAAGACTTGAGAATACTGGAAGGTAAAGGCGACGAGGTCAACGGTGTCCATTTACTTTCAAAATGCGAAGGAAGCAAGTACCTTCGGCTCGCCTCAATGGAATTTGAGGCTTAAAGCAAAAAAAAAATAAAAATAATTTTTTACTTTTCTAAGTTGTTTTACTTTCTTCTAATTTGTTAATTTTTTTTTTTTTTATGTTCTTCATAAAGAATTTTTTTTCCCACATTTGAATATATTATAAATGAAGTCACTAATATATTTTTTCTTTCACTATTCTATAATTTTCTAATTATCTTAAATAACTTGGTTGTTCAATTGTTGAATTGTCCCCTAAATTATTTTTATTCTTCTCTTCTTTCTAAGTTTTTCACACCCCAATTCATATTTTGTTGTAAACATATCTAATAATATAAATAAAAATGATCACAACTCACAAACAAAATATATAATTTTATAATAACAGAATAATAACAAGACTATAAAATAATTTAAGTTGAAGAACAATAGACATGAATTAATTGGCTTGTTTGTTTGGAAGTAAAATATATAAATATTTAAATTATTTTTATTTTTTTGGTGTTTGGTTGTAAAAATTTAAGTAAAATATTTTATTAAAACCTAAAAAAAATATCTTACCCATCAATTTTTGGTAAGTTATTTCACACCCAATCCGATGGACTCAATCTCAATCTCGACCTAGATCTAGTCCTTTGCAAAACACCGAAAAATAATAAATAAATTTTTTTACTTGAATAATGAAAGTATTTTCTGACGAATATATTTTATATCTGATAGGGGAAAATAACCCTAAGTGTGACCACTGCCTTTACTGAACCGTTCCCCTGGATTTCGTAAAAAAGAACATAAATAATTTCATTCAGTTGTGGAAGATAGGGGAGATCAGTTAGCAAAGATAGATGGAATATTTCTAATTGACATCTACGTAACCGTTCGGATCCCGATGCAACCATAAAAATGGTAGTTGGCCATTAAATGCAGGGGCAGAGCCAGGATTTGAAAATTTTTGCGGGGTGGTCGCTAAAGAAAAAATTCAAGTAAAGGATTTACTAGGGAAAAAAAAATTTCAAGAAGAGAAGATAATTAACTGGGGAAATTTTTTTATTAGTTCTTCTGATAAATCCAAATATGAAGAAACTCAGATCCAACAACACGATTCAACACAAAATAATCAAAATTTAAACTAAAGTAAAGAAACCGATATCCAAAATTTTCAGACGACAATCCAAAAATAAAAAATAAAAAAACCTAAATCAAAATACTAGATTTTAGAAAGAGATATAATAACCTAGAGAGAGATACTAAGTCAAAGCACAAGAAGGCACAAATGCGAGGTTTCAGAAAATTGTTGCTTATATATCTTATATCCCTAAATTTGGGCCTAAATTTTGAATGCAAAACACCAAAAACAATACCACATCATGCCAAACAACCCCTAGGTTAGTTTTAATTTGTTTGTAGGCTTGTTTTCTGGGCCGAATCATTTATCATTTATGTTTTATTATGAATTGGGAAGCTTAGGTTGGGCTGGGCTATGGCTAATAAAAAATAGTGGTACTAATTTTTTTTTTTTTGGACCTGTGCTATAGCCCAGGTTAGCCTATAGGGAGCTCCGCCCCTGATTAAACAAGGTATGAGAAAAAAAACTCTCAAGTATTCAATACATAATTACTTTTCTGTTATACGACTCCAAGCACTGACTTGATCATCGAAGTGTCCTCGATCAACACCCGATGCCATCCGAGGTAACATAATCTCCATTATTTTACAGTACACGTCGTCTTCCGGGCTGAGCTAATTTTTGCATCAACAATATCGAAACAAACAAACAAAAAAAATAAAATAAAATAAAAGGGACTGAGATAAGGATAGAAATTAGAACTAAATTTGTCTCACTATTAAATTTAGTTCTAATTTCCTTTTCATTGGAACCTAATAATATAAGAAAATGAAAATTTTAGTGAGCTAATAATGTTGGAAATCATATCTATAAGTTGACTCAATGATTGTGGCAGATTTATTGGGTCTTCATTATAGGTTGGGGATTTTATTTTTATTCTGATTTGATTTTATTCTCTTTATTCAGATTTGATTTTATTCTCTTTTCCATATTTGTAATTTTCCTCTTGTATATAATGATAGTCAGGCTTTTAAATTGAGTACGCAAATTTTACCAAGTTACTTTTTGGTATCAGAGCCTTAAACCTACGCTTCCCCCCTCTCTCTTTCACCGCCTCTTTTGATCTCTCTCTATCTCGTCACAGTCCCTTCCCTATTTTTTTTTCCCTTTTCTTCACCGACCCTCTCTCTTCTTCAAGCTGCTGTTGCGACAGTCCTAGGGGGAGCCAATCTCCTCTAGGTTCAACCCCTGAAGGGCTATTCCCTTAGTCTTTTTCATGCACTAAGGGTCAGAAGACGTGTTTGTAATTTTTTGGGGCTGCCGGGATATTCGGTAGCGTTTTCGGATCAGACCGCCGTGTCTCCGGCTTCTTAGTTTGATCAAAATCAGGTTTATTCCACATTTATTTGAAATTATTGGTGATCTGTTGAATTGTTTTATTTAATATTATGGCTGAATCAAGTAATAATAAAGAAACTCTCTTTTCAGCGCAACACACATCAGCTCAACGAGTTACTAGTGTGCTGTTGAATGGCCATAATTTTGCATCCTGGGCTCGTTCCATCTGCCTCTATGTAGGTGGAAAAGACAAATCAGGGTGAATTTTGGGTACTGAAAAGATTTCAGATATTAAAGATCCTAAATATGCTCAGTGGGATATGGACAATTGCACCATTTTAGGATGGATGTTTAATTTTACGGAGGAACGCATTTATAATATATTCATATTTTATGACTCTGTTAATGACTTGTGGACTGCTTTGAATCAAATGAATGCTCAGTGGGATATAGACAATTGCACTATTTTAAGATATTGTTAAGGCATCGCAGGAAGGCCTGAATTTGTCTGTAGCTGATTACTTTGGGTATTTGAGATCTCGTTGGGAGGAACTAGCTCAATATGAGCCTCTTAGTGAATTTCCTTCCGAGGCAGCCTCTCTTCTTGTCAAACGTCTTGATCGTCAGCATACCTATCAGTTTTTTATGGGATTATGCCCAGAATTTGAACCACTAAAGTCTCAGATCTTGAATGCATCACCAATGCCATCCCTGTTAAAAGCCTTTGCTATAGTTGATGGTGAAACACGCAAGCACCATTTAATTCAGCCCTCACTTGTTCCTCTACCAGTGTCTGAGCTTGCTGGGGATAGTATGGCTCTTGCAGCCAACTTTGGATCTTGTGCTTATGGAGGTCAGTTTATTTGTCTCCATTGTGGAGGGGTTGGACATGTTAAAGCTCATTGCTTCAAACTTCATCCTTGACTGAAGCAAAAATTTTATAGGAACCATTTATCTGGAACTGGTTTTTCTCGTACTGCGGCTGTTATAGAGACTCCTGTTACTACTGGTGGA